AAACAAAACAAAATGAGGAATTTTGTCCTTCAAAATGTGTGATTTGCTCAAACAGCATTATTAGCAAATGTTTCTTATTTTATAAGAAGATCATTTGTTATTAACTCTCTGGTTTACAGCAACGCAGCGGCCAAAGAATGCATAATCGTTATTCATATGTGACTATTTGTAAACTAAATGCAAAACTCTTGAAAGGAGATTATATTTACACAATGCATGAAAAAAAACCTTTCAAGAGATTAAGATTTCATTGTTTGAAACCATGGCTCAGAGAAATGTGACACAATGAATCCAAAAACATAACACATTTGCACATCTATTACTTAAAAAGGATTTGCAGGAAAATGGATGGAGAGAGAAATATAAGAAACTCTTGTGCAATGGTAATCTGGCACAACTGAATATGCATACATTTTGGTCACAGAGCCTCAACAGGAATCCACGGTGACATGATTTTAGAATATGATACACATCTGAGATAGTACAAAAAAGCAAAGCTTATCATTAGGCATTCGCAATATAAAAACAAGTCAGTGCAGAAGCTTAAAAATGAAAATGTAACTTAATTAAAAGAACCCTTAATTAGATTACATTTCATTGAAATTTGTCTCAAAAGCATGAATCATAAAATCTGTATATAGAAAAATAAAGATTCATCATACACTTGTAAAAAAATAATAAATATGCAATTTGGTGAACTACCTCTCTGTGGAGTATATTCCTGGGACATTAACTGAGTCTTCACACCAGGCATTTCTAATGTCTGCTTATTGATTTGTTTGGTGGAGTTTACACTGATGTTGTTATTTTGTAAGCGAACTACTACTTGTGGTGAAAGCCATGCATGTGACACTGTTGCTCTCCTTGAACTGAGCACATACCTGAAAATGGGGAAAACTATCATTGTGGTCCTGCATGCTGCATTTCTGTCCCTCTTATTTTTGCTTTTAGTACAGCTTCAAATGATTAAGTCAAAAGCATTTAAAAAGGTGTGGTGATTAAGTATGTCTACTTTTAGGAATGGTATGAATGGCAAATGTGTGCAACAAACTAAGGGAGCCGACATGCTGTGCTGTTTAAAGTGGACCAAACGTGGAAGGAGTGAATACACATGTAAAAGGATAATTGAAGGAAATATTCTTTTAAACTTTTAAAAGGATAAGTATCATAATTTAGAGCCATGAAACCATACCTACATTTCATAAGACTTGCCATTTTTCTTAAAGCAGATAATTCTTTTCAAACCTTTGACAAAGGAAAATCTATTGCAGCTATGCATCAGTTAAAAAGATTAAACTGTTTTGGTTCTCCCTTTGTACACTTCTGTTTGAGTTTCTTTATAAGTATTCAGTTCCACTTTGATTAATGTTTCTGTGTTTTCTTGTTCATTGGTTTCTTTTCCATTTTTGTTTTATATTTAAGCAGTCTTGTATTTTTTGAGTTGCCCCCTTTTGCTGGGATCCTTTCCCTTATCTCCTTCTGGTCACTTCTGTCTACACCTGCTCCCCATCAGATAATTAGTCCTCCCATCCCCCCATTGTTTCTGTTTCCCATATATACACTACTTGCTTCACAAAAAAAATTATTGTTCAACATGATTTAGGTCAGAACAGAGCTGACATTACATCTACCTGAATGCTAACATTTAGTTAAAGATTTTGTAACAAACTGTAATTTACTGCTGTGCAAATTGCAGGGAGATTGGGTTAGAGAAAGAGATATTTTAAATCATTCCATAGGGTGTCAGGTTGTTATTTCTCAAAGCTGCTCTAAGGAATTCATCCTTCTTGTTGAATAAATCCCTCTTATAAATCTTCAATTCTTGCTGGAGGCTTTTTCTTTTTATCACAAACCTTTCTTGTGTTTATGTTATATGCTATTGCCTGGGTTTGGCATTCCAAACACAACATCATCACTCTTCTGCTGCTAATGTCCTCAACCTCTTTGTGGTCATGTATTTTCACACTTATAAATATTTTTTAAATCAGACATATAATGTTGAACTTTTGTGAGCCACAAGCCTTAGCACAACTAAAAGGCTAGACTTGCAAAAAAATGTACATGCCCTTTATAAGAAATGCTTCAAAGAGATTTATCATTAAGTCCTTTGGAACCAAAGTTTGAAGGTTAACAATCTGACTATCATTAATTATCAAAGCCTACACTCCTAACTCCATAAAAAAATACTTTACTTTAAGTAAGTTTGTCATAATGTTAATGTTAATGACCACATGATTTTTATGGTTGATTTTTATCTTTGATTTTATTTGCACTGTGTAGCACTTTGAGATTTTTGTTAATGACCACATGATTTTTATGGTTGATTTTTATCTTTGATTTTATTTGCACTGTGTAGCACTTTAAGATTTTTTCTTAATGAACAGTGCGGTCGAATTGGATTTATTACTATTATTATTATTATTATAATTTATATAGCACTCTAATAGACTGAATAATCATTGATGATAGGTAAACTAGTAGTCTGAAAATTGCTCATGCCTTCCTGATTTCTGAATAAATTAAGATAGGGGCAAATCCATCACCAAACATAAAATAGACTAAAAGAAAGTCACATTTTAAACTAAGCAGGGGGACAATTTTTCCCTAGAAGAAGAGCTTGTAAAACAATTTCTAAGACAGAAAAATATTATCCACAGATCCTTTATAACTTCATAATGTTAGCCAAAAACGTGAAGACTAAGGCTCTGATTAGTAAAACATACAGAATTAATGGTTCTGACATGAGTTTGGATCTGTTCTTTGTTTGAACCCCGCTATACTAACAACCTTTCTGAAATCCAAATTGTTTTTTCTTTTTCTTTAAGTACGGTAAACTGCAGGAGTTGATAGCACAACATTTAAAACAACTTTTTTTTTAATCTAGATGCAAATTTCAACAAATTCATTAGAAGGCATTAAACTGTATTTGCAATGCAATCTCTCATTAGTCAAAAACATAACTTGAGCAATTCTGCTGCTTAGTTTTTCCCATTTGCACAGAGCAACTCAATATGTCAGAACTCATCACATCTGTAAACAAGCTCTAATGAGGCTTTTGGACAGAAAGCAAACACTGACAAAAGTTAAGCTCGAATGCAATCTAGTATTCTAACTACATTTGCTCACATCGCCCTGGAAATTGTCAGTTAAGCACTACAGCCTTACTGTCACCTAGCTTAGATGTCAGTGTTTTTGGAAAGTAAAAAAAAACAACAACACACACCTAAACATCATTCACAGGCACTGCAGATTTCTGAATCTGCACAGACATTATTTTGTCAGAAGTGCCATGATGCTGAAGAGGCCCTTTTCCTCTTCTTGTGATTATAAACCCTCATTCTCTATTCTGTCTCCTCGAGCAGCTGTCCAAACAGAGCTGAGTTTGCTCAGGTACTTGTCCTTGATGGAGAAAGCCTCAGTGCATTAGTTAATGCTACAACAGGGCGTTTGTCTAAATCCTGACCCACTTTTAGTGTCAGTGAGCTTTCAGGATTTAGATCAAGCAATATCAAGGGAGATAAATGCCACGCTGCCTAACAGGCTGTGTGTGGAGTGTGTCATGAAGCAAATGAATTAAACACATCAGAGCAAGGGGGAGGGTGGATACCTGGTATGGATGCATGAAATCCACTTCCACCCAAAACAATAAGAAAACAATGATTTACAGCGTTAGATATGACTTGTTATCCATGCAGGTTAGGAATATCAAACATATTGTGATAATCCTGCTTTAGGAGCAAACTGAATTACTGTTTTGGAAATCAAATTTGAACTCACAAACTCAAAAAAGAAGTCAGTTATGAACATTTATTTGAACAGTGGGCACCTTGTATTGCTTTTATCAATCTAAGCTGTTAATTACCATATGCCATATTTAGAGCTAGAGTGAGCACCATTTATTATGAAGACCTGGGGGAAATGACTAGAGGAGAAGCTGCACGAAGCAGCAGGAGGATTTACCAGCAGGCTTGTAAACTGGCTGTGACATTTGGCCAGGATGCCTGCAGTGGGCTCGACTTTCTTAATGGACTAACATGTTCCTGTTGGCAGCTCTAAGTGTACCATTTATTACAAGAACTGGGTACAGACTCGGGTTGTGGTAAGTCAGGTCAGAAATGACAGGAGAGGCCAGATGAAAATACCTCTCCATTCCAGTCTTTTGATTTTTTTCAAAATTGAACAGAACATGATAATAATTGATAAAATAAGTATTTGAGAGGTCAACAATTTTAAGTAGATTTATTTCTGAAGGGGAAATTGACAAAGTGACACCATATGCCAGCAACAACCAAAATAAACAATAAAAAAACATACAAAAAGATAAAACAATTCAGTCCATAATTAACTTTTTTGTTTCAACAAAACTGTAATAACAGGAAACAAGAAATAAACACATGAAGAAAAATAGCTTATCACTAAAATGTCTAAATCAGTGTTAACAAAGTAATACTGCTCCTTATAAATGTAAGGGAATGTCAACTGGTTTAGTCCAAATGATCTAAAAAAAGGTTTATTACAGCAAAGGAATCCCACAAGAAGCATTTTTATGATCGTTAATAGCTAAACCTATTTTAATATCTGTCTGACTTAACTTTTACAAAACATACTGATGCAGTTAGGAGGTCAGATAAATATCAAGAGTTGACCAAAAGCTAAGGACAGCTTGGAGTTTTAAAATTTGAAATGATGAACAATGCACCTTACTCCTGTACTTTAAAAAGAGCATGTTAAAGCTGGTCTAAGGTCCTTGTATGTGTAGATTACTTGGTCTTTTCCTCTATCTTCTGTGATTTCCATACAAATGTCTAGAAATAAATTTACAGAAAAATTGTAACATAATAAAAACGAATCTTCTTCATTTTATTCTAATAAAACAGGACAGTTTTAATGAGGACAAACAATTGGCTTGTCTTCTGTGCTGAAAATACATTGTGGATATAATTCTCCAGATTTTAGGGAAAATAAAGATGCTAAAGCCAAAGATATTTTATGGTCCAAGCCTGAAAAAGAGCACTTTTTATATAAATTTTATAGTCCACTTGGTCTCCAGTCGATCCTCTACAAAGTATTCCTGTAAGACAAACATAGGAAATAAATTATTGTCTTTTACTGAGAGGCACATGTCAGCTAAACATTCAAGAGAGGATTTAAAAAAATATTTTAACAAAGTGGGAAATTGTTTGGAGTTATATACAGTCATATGGGCACCTAAGACTTAGCCATCTCCTGTGTGAAATAATTGGCCAACCTGCAGGCTGAGAAGAATGTTAATTTAAATATATATATTTTTTTTATTTTGTTAAGAACAACTAAGTTTTATTTTGAAACTATTTGGCTAAAAAATTGATTCCAAAAGTTGATGCCCTGACCCAACCTGGGGTCAGGGCTGCTGCATCATGTACCATAACTGGCGAGAATTTTGACAAAGCTGAAACACTGATGGGTTCAGACAAACCAGTTTTCCCCAACATGACTGCTGTTGTAGTACAACACTTACCATCACAATCATTCATGCAAAAAACAGTGAGGGAGTAGTAATAGCAAAAAAAAAAAAAAGTACAACCAAAAGACTTGTGCATAGTCTTCAACAACTGAGGAGTATTTTTATCTAATTGATTTAGAAAGAACAAAGTTTGTTCGGCTTCACAAAAAAAAACTAGAGAGCAGAACTGAGAAGTGTGCAGTAATGGAAAAAACAAGGATGATGTTTTCGCTTTTCCAAATTAATAAAGCCCACCCGAACACTTTGACCCATCACACAACTGTTTTTTAAAATCAGAAAATAAGGTATTGCCCGGATGATGTGTTAAAATAGAAACAGCAAGAACTCCCAAACTGGCGCTGCATTTAAAGGATATTATTCTTGGAGCTATGGGAGAGAGAGCACAGAAACAGCTACCTGCTGAGTATGGGCAGGACTTATGCAATACAATAAATGATACATTAGTAATTAAACTAAAGCTGAAATGCGGCAAGTAAACAAGGAAACTTTGAGAAAAAAGCACCTACTTTAGTTCTGTATAGTATCTGGCTCAATCCCAAGACTGCGGCTTGCTCCCCAGGGTGCTGCATGCTACCCACTGCTCCCTTAGGCATGGGTTGAATGCAGAACACACATATAAATGCACTGTACATTTATTATGAGCAATAAAGTCTGTATTAACTGTGATTACATTATTTTTTTCACCAGAAATAATCTTCTCATCAACAACCCTGCAGATGTTTAAATTTCTATAAGGTAAGTCTATTCCTTCAAGCACTTCTACAATAATGTTTTTAAAATATTCACAAAAAAAATCATATAACAGTGCATGTGAATAGTTTTTGTTGAATATGATAAATAACACTTGATGTTTGGGCTGGGTGTGCATAGAATGTAGCTCGGTAATTCTCCTAGATCTACTGGCTGTCTCTTTGTGAATCCCCTGGTTATAATCTGTCAAACAGCTTACAATATCTAGGGTGACATTTTTGTATGGAGATGCAGCTTTTAGCCCAAGACAATCAACTTGTCCTTGAAATAGATATAGAGGTAAGATAAAGCTTATCGCTCTCACCTAGACCCTTCCAGACAAGCTTTTGTTATGCTTTGAACAAAAAGTGCACAATTACTAAAGCAAATAAGAGACTTAGCACAGGACTTGGCAGGCATCATTTATTTGTTTGCAGTCGCTTAGCAGAACTGGCGAGCACTTAGTGCTGCACACTGAGGATATCTAGCTCTCTTCCAGAAATTTTCAACACGAGCAGATGGCATCATTACATGACCAGAGAATGTGTTGATATTAGCTCAAGCTGTGGGAGGTTTACTATCAATCATACATATTCATTTCCATTTGACTTTTAGAGGACATGCCATTAATAACAAATCAACAGAAGTATTTCCACAAATATAAGAAAAATATTTTGCCATTATATTAAATCTTTTAGAAAGTCAAGGAGTGTTTAAAGGATCCATCACCTGGAAAACTGGTCCTCCTCTGTTATTTCCATCATTCCTGAAAGGGTCCTGGAAGCATTAGCCTGCCAAGCTTTCATCACTTCCCTCTCCACCAAAAGGGGCAATTCCAACAGTCAGAGACTCACCTGCAGGTAGTCGGTCAGGCTTCTGCTTGCCTAACTTTTTATCTGTGTAGAAGAAAGGGAAACATTGCAAAATAAAACACTGTATAAAAGACACTTGAAAAATGTACTCTCATTCATTGCTGACTCAGCTCTCAGTCAGGGTCACGGTGGATATACAGCTCCAGCTCCAGTCTCTAAATCTGTATGACTGTTGGATTTTAGCATATCATCTGTTTAATCTGTCTGGGGTCACTTCAAGGATAGGGAGGCATGTTCTCATTTCCAGAACTGGATGTTTTAGTGGTTGCAACTTTCAATCTTAATGAAACAAGGTTGTTATCTAAGGGGACCTCAGCCAAAACTATAGTACATTTTATTGATCCCTATGTTTAAATCACTTCAGTGGTCGCTAATTCATAAAATCTAACAGCTATACATGGAAAGTACTTAGACAAATAATTAATAAAACAGTCAAAACAATATAAAGCATATATATATATATATATATATATATATATATATATATATATATATATATATATATATATATATATATATATATATATATATATATATATATATATATATATATATATATGTATGTATACATATATAATCTATATTATAATAATTATTATTTATATTATTATTATTATATATATTATTATACATTTTTTTTCTTCTTTTTTTTCTTTTTTTAACAGAACCAAAAGCCTAATAATTAAGTATTTTTAGAGCATTATTAAATGTGCATATTTTCTAAGGTTGGTGTGGATTGTAAACAACATTACCAGAGGTGATAGACTTGGCAAGGGAGCAAAACAAACAGCTGCCAGTGTTTTATTGTGCCTCAGGATGCTGGCTAGGCATGCCTAATGGACGAGAATCACCACATAGTTCATGCATGGATTGCTGACAAAGAGATGGGATACAAGCTTCATAGACCCTAAGCACTGTACAATGTATCCTTCAGAAGAAAAAAAAATAAACAAACAAACAAAAAACATTACTTAAACTATTTGGATATTTGTATCTAAGATGACTTTTAGCTTTGACATGGAAAAAATAACTATGAAAACTATAGATGTGCAGCTGGAGACAGATTGGTTGTGAAAATGAGGCCGACTCTTTCTGGCAAGAACTGTTTCCTGATGCATGGACTCCCTCCAGATCAGAGGTGAACAAAAAGGTTTAGATGTAGCTTGAGGAACATGTTACAAGGAAATTATCAATGACACTTTAAAACAAAGTATCTAGTTTGGGCATTTATGTTTTTAATTTATGATAAAAAATTATAATTTAAATTTATGAATAAAAAATATCCAAATTAATTTGTATTGTCTTTTGTATCAAGCACATTGTTAGGATCCTCAGGCTTGCCCTCCAGAGGGCGCCGAGGATCCTCTTCTGCTCTGTGTTTTTTCCCTTAGGGTTGAGTTACTGTGGGGATCTGGAGACTACCCTCTGCCTCCAGCAGAGTGCGCCGTGGGTCTTCTGGAGCTGGAACCTTCCTGCACACCTGTTGCTAATCCTCTCATCAGAAGACCTCTACTATATAAGCTGACTTCAGATCTTGCCTCAACGCCGCAGTGTTGATCTTAGTTGGTTAGCTTCCTGAGCCTCTTTGATAGAAGAATCTTGGTTATCTCTAGTGTGAGATCAGTTTCTAACTCTTCCTTGTTTCTGCCTCACAGGAATCCTGTTTCTTCGTGAAGCTCTGGATGAGCTTAACCTCCTGTCTCTTCGTGAAACTCTGGAAGGGCTGTCTCTCTGGCAACCTGTCTCTGGCCTGCAGCTCTGGGGGAGTTGCACCACAGGAATCCAGTCACAAGCCTGAAGCTCAAGGAGAGCTAACCTGCTAAACTGCCCTGGTGAGCCAACCCGAAGATTCCTACGTGGTTGAAACCTGACGACTTCTATGTGGAGTTTCCCTAGAGGTTCCCATGTGGATTTTCCCCTGATGTTCCCTGCTGATAGCTGGATGCTCAGCCTGAAGAATCCTCTGAGTTAATCCCCTGTTGTTCCCTGCTAGAGCTGGAAGCTCAGCCTGAGAAATCCTTCGTGTTTCCCCTGATGTTCTCTGCTGTGAGCTGGAAGCTCAAATCCAGGACTGCCAGGCTAAGCCTGAAGCTAAATGCTTAGCCTGACATGAACTCAGCTACCAGCCATCTCCCTTTCCCTGCACAGACCCCAGTGAACCAGCTCCCTGCCTGTATTGTTCCAGTATTATCCATGTGCTTTTGTCTTTAAATAAACTCTTTGGACTTTTACCAGTGCCTCCGTGTGTGTCCTGCATCTTGGAGTTTACTCTAGAAAACCCATCATGACAGAACACTGCGGCCAAACACAAAGCCCAGCAGAACACCTCCGCCGTTGGACTGAGAAACGGGATGCTCAGATACTAGAACACACACAAACCCTCCGTGAGTTACTGCTTAATCAAACGTTCTCTAATCACTTCTACAATGCTAACGCCACGTCAGCGGCTCGTCCTGTCCCGAATTCACTTCCGCTTCCTAGTTCACCGGCAGTAACGTCACCTCCGAGTCAAGATGATAACCAGGGGCGTTGCTAGGCACAAAGCTTTACTGGGGCACTGGCCCCCTACCGCATATGCCCCTCCTGCCATACACAAATACAGACAAGCACACTGCCCCACCCTGATAAATTCCTACCAAAATTACCAGTTGAGATATTAATGAGTGTAAGAGCATATTTGTTTTAACAAACATGAACAATTTCAACATTGCAACTATAAAAAATAAGACATTACCAACTTTAAAAATAAAAAGTTTCCTTATACACATTCTGAAGTAATCATTAATTCCTAGGTTTCAGAGTTTTAGTTCAGGGGAAATTTTAACTCAACCTGAACTAAGTTTTTCTTTTATTTTTTGAGCATTAAAGTGTACCTCCTATTTTTCCTTTTTGCAAAGCGGTCAATCACTAGACTGTGACTCAGCTTAGAAAGTTCTTCCTTTTCAACTGATAAAATAGCAAGATGATGGAGCCTGTCTTGTCCCATTGTGCACCTCAGCCAAGTGTGGAGCCTTCTCAATACACTGAATGACCTTTCACAACTCCAGCTGTAGACTGGGATGGTGAGGGAGATCTGGATGACCTGCGTTAGTGTGGGGAACATGGTGTTATCAAGCAAGTTGAAAACACACTGCATATCCTTGATGACAAGGCTTTCTTTTTCAACCATAAAAAGCTTTCAAACCATTTTGAATTAAATTAAAGTTTTTTTTACTCCAAATTTGTCCTGGGGATAGTGGGACAACTTCACTTGTCTAGGATCATCATGCTTTCCCCCTAAGTCACTAATGTCCCCTTCTTGTTTGTGGATGCTGGTTGTTGCTCCCTCATAACCTTCATGGTCCTGTCTCTCCTGTCTCTCTCCTGTCTTTCACCTGTCCCTTGTCTGTCAGTCTGGCCTCCTCCTCCCTTTCCTACTCCAGCACCTTCATTCTCATTCTCTACAGCAAACATTAAAAAAACGTAAATTTATAATTATGTAAATATCTATCATATTGCTTATAATGTTCCTAATGTAACTAGTTTGCTTAAATCACTAATTCATTACGGGACCTTACCTCCCTCTCTCTCATCTTGTTTTACTGCTTCCCTGTCTCTGCTTCGTGTGAGGAATTTCCTGATATCCATCTACAAACCAATGCAGTCATTTTCAGTTAGTAGCCTATAAATCATGTGGTTTCACTGGTAAAATAATAAAATTGACAGGTAAGAAACGTTACCAGAACAAAAAATGCGTCGCGGCCGCACAGTGTCCCATCCAACTCAGATGAGAGCAGCGCGTTAGTTTACCTGCAGTTCATGCAGTGACATGCGCTGACGTGGGGGCGCTAATACATCCTCAGTTTGGAGATAACAGCACACTTGCTACGCATTTGAGTAGAAATATACGTCTCCTCCCGTTGGAATTATCTAATTTGATGCATTAAAAAAATGTATCACTGTTGCAAATATTCATGAGATTTATACTGGGGCACAGCTCATTTATACTGGGGCACGTGCCCCAGTAAATGGGGTCTGGCGACGCCGATGATGATAACCCTCCTTTCTGGTCTGAACACAGTCCGTCGTTTTCGTCACCTGGTCCTTCACTGCCTGAGAGATTTTCTGGCAACCCACGTAAGCTCAAGGGATTTCTATTTCAGTGTCGGTTATTTTTTAGTTTTCATACTACTTGTTTTCTTAATGATAAGGATAAGATTGCTTTTGTAGTTTCTTTTCTGTCTGGTGAAGCCCTTGAATGGGTGGAGACAAAATTTCCGCTTAAAACTAGAAAAACTGCACATATGAGAAATTCATCCGGGAGTTAGAAAAAACCTTTAGTCAGTCCTCCAGTTTCTCCTTTTCCTGCAACCTTCTGAATTCTAAACAGGGTAATAGGTCCGTAGCTGAATTTTCTTCCGAGTTCCTGGGTAGAGCAGCCGTTTCCGGGTGGAACGAGTCTGCACTCAAGTCTGCTTATCTCTTAGCTTTAAATGAATCTGTTAGAAAAGAGCTTTCTTGTTACGTCGAACCAGGTAACCTCGAGGATCTCATAGAACTAGCCATTGGGTTAGACATAGCGTCTCAAACCAGTTCCAGTTCCTCCCCGCGCCAGTTTAGCCTCTGTTCTCACATTCAAGACCTTCATTTAGCCCCATCCGTTAAAGGACTCAAAATTGACCCATCCATTTCACTTCAGACAGTTAGAGTTCCCCGCCAGCCTGATCAGACACCTGCACCCTTCACCGTTGAATCTAGACCTGTTCTCTCGCCTGATAATCTAGCTCCCCACATCCATGAGACAGATCTATGGAACTTTTTCTATGGAGATAGAGAGGATATCTCCCCTTTCGAGCCACCACATTCAGCTCCACGCCAGCCTTATCTAGATCCTGAACCAGTTAGTTTTAATCCTGACCCCATGCCTGACTCTTTAGCCTCAGTTCCTGTAATTCATTCTGGTATTCATATTTTTCAACCGGTTAGTTTATTGACAGATTCAATCAATAAACCGGTTAGCCTAGCTCCTAAAACCCCTCGGCGTAAGAAACGGCGTCGCCCTAAGTCAACTCTGTGCTGTCTAGAGACCCCTGGGTCAGCTCCGTGCCATCTAGAAACCCCTGAGTCAGCTCTGTGCCGTCTAGAAACCCCTGAGCCTGCCCTGTGCCGTCCAGAGACCCCTGAGCATACACTTAAGAGGGCTTCAGAAAGTGGAGTTGGTGAAAAAATGCCTTTAAGAGCCCCTCAGCAAAGGCCACAAACCACCAAGAGTCCTCCACAGACGCCTCAAGCCACCTCAAAGACTGAACTTGAGCCTCCATGGGTGGTCCCTCCAGTTCCAGAAGTGGAACCACAGTCGGTGGTGTCACCAGTTCCTGAGGTGGAGCCACAGTCGGTGGCCTCCCCCAGTTCCAGAGGTGGAACCACAGCCGGTGGTGTCCCCTGTTCCTGATCGGGAGCCGCAATCGGCGGGCTCCCCTGTTCCTGATCGGGAGCCGCAATCGGCGGGCTCCCCTGTTCCTGATCGGGAGCCGCAATCGGCGGGCTACCCTGTTCCTGACCGGGAGCCGCAATCGGCGGGCTCCCCTGTTCCTGACCGGGAGCCGCAATCGGCGGGCTCCCCTGTTCCTGACCGAGAGCCGCAATCGGCGGGCTCCCCTGTTCCTGACCGAGAGCCGCAATCGGCGGGCTCCCCTGTTCTTGTCAGAGAGCCGCAGTCGGCGGTTTCCTCAGAGCCTCCTCCTGAGCCGCAGTCGGCGGTTTCCTCAGAGCCTCCTCCTGAGCCGCAGTCGGCGGTTTCCTCAGAGCCTCCTCCTGAGCCGCAGTCGGCGGTCTCCTCTGAGCATTCTCCAGAGCCGCAGTCGGCGGATTCCTCAGAGCCTTCTCCAGAGCCGCAGTCAGCGGTTTCCTCAGAGCCTCCTCCTGAGCCGCAGTAGGCGGTCTCCTCTGAGCCTCCTCCAGAGCCGCAGTCAGCGGTTTCCTCAGAGCCTTCTCCAGAGCCGCGGTCGGTGGTTTCCTCAGAGCCTTCTCCAGAGCCGCAGTCGGTGGTTTCCTCTGAATCTCCTCCTAATCCGCAGTCGGCGGTTGCTGCTGAGCCTGGTCCTGAGCTGCCGAGGAGGGGACGGGGTACCCTGTGGGGATACCTGCTGAAGTTTGGGCGTCATCCTCATGAGAAGCAGCTTCGCCTCCGGCCCCGCAGCAGACCCACAGAGCGTCAGTTTCGCCTCCGGCCCCGCGGTGGACCCCCGGAGCGTCATCTTCGCCGCCGACCCCGCAGCAGAACCCCGGAGCATCGGCTTCGCCTTCGACCTCGCAGCAGACCCCCAGAGCGTCAGCTTCGCCTCCGACCCCGCAGCCGGCCACCTAAGACTTTGCTCCGTTACCGGATCCTCGGCCGGGCCCCTTGAACCTCTGCCATGCCTCCGGCCCGGCGGTGGTCCTCCTAAGACGCTGCTTCGTTCCCAGCCCCGTGGTCGGCCTCCTGAGCATCTGTCTAGCCTCCGGCCCAGCGGTAGGCCCCCTGAGAATCGGCCTCACCACCGTCCCAACGGTCAGCCTCCTGAGCAGCTACTACGCCTCCGCTGCCGGCCCCATGGTAGACCACCTGAGACTGTGTCCTGCTGCCGGTATTTCGGCCGGTCACCTGAGACTGTGTCCTGCTGCCGGCCCAACGGCAGCCCACCTGAGACTGTGTCCTGCTGCCAGTCCCTCGGCCGGCCACCTGAGACTCTGTCCCGCTGCCGGTCCCTCGGCCGGCCACCTGAGAATCTGTCCCGCTGCCGGTCCCTCGGCCGGCCACCTGAGAATCTGTTCCGCTGCCGGTCCCTCGGCCGGCCACCAGAGATTTTGCCCAAGAAAGTTTTTGGGTTTTCTTTTGTTTTCGTCCACCATAAGTGGATCGTTTTTTGTTCTGGACTCTGGTTTTGTTTTCTGCCCTCCTGGCCTGTTTCCACCTTCGCCCACCCTGGGTGGGTTGTTTTTTGTTTGTTGGACCTTTTTTTCTGTTGTTTCTGGCCCTCCTCGCCCTAGTGCCCCCTCCGCCCACCCTGGGTGGGTTGTTTTTTGTTTGTTTTTGTTGGACTTTTTCTGGGGGCGTCTGGAATCCGCCCTTGAGGGGGGGGTACTGTTAGGATCCTCAGGCTTGCCCTCCAGAGGGCGCCGAGGATCCTCTTCTGCTCTGTGTTTTTTCCCTTAGGGTTGAGTTACTGTGGGGATCTGGAGACTACCCTCTGCCTCCAGCAGAGTGCGCCGTGGGTCTTCTGGAGCTGGAACCTTCCTGCACACCTGTTGCTAATCCTCTCATCAGAAGACCTCTCCTATATAAGCTGACTTCAGATCTTGCCTCAACGCCGCAGTGTTGATCTTAGTTGGTTAGCTTCCTGAGCCTCCTTGATAGAAGAATCTTGGTTATCTCTAGTGTGAGATCAGTTTCTAACTCTTCCTTGTTTCTGCCTCACAGGAATCCTGTTTCTTCGTGAAAGCTCTGGATGAGCTTAACCTCCTGTCTCTTCGTGAAACTCTGGAAGGGCTGTCTCTCTGGCAACCTGTCTCTGGCCTGCAGCTCTGGGGGAGTTGCACCACAGGAATCCAGTCACAAGCCTGAAGCTCAAGGAGAGCTAACCTGCTAAACTGCCCTGGTGAGCCAACCCGAAGATTCCTACGTGGTTGAAACCTGACGACTTCTATGTGGAGTTTCCCTAGAGGTTCCCATGTGGATTTTCCCCTGATGTTCCCTGCTGATAGCTGGATGCTCAGCCTGAAGAATCCTCTGAGTTAATCCCCTGTTGTTCCCTGCTAGAGCTGGAAGCTCAGCCTGAGAAATCCTTCGTGTTTCCCTTGATGTTCTCTGCTGTGAGCTGGAAGCTCAAATCCAGGACTGCCAGGCTAAGCCTGAAGCTAAATGCTTAGCCTCACATGAACTCAGCTACCAGCCATCTCCCTTTCCCTGCACAGACCCCAGTGAACCAGCTCCGTGCCTGTATTGTTCCAGTATTATCCATGTGCTTTTGTCTTTAAATAAACTCTTTGGACTTTTACCAGTGCCTCCGTGTGTGTTCTGCATCTTGGGCTTTACTCTAGAAAACCCATCATGACACACATCTTGTTTTCTTTTTTTTTTCTCATTACCACCCTGTGACAGTACTTTTTCAATAAGTAAAAACAACCATGAAAAATATCCTGTAAATAAGTTTACAAAATAATTCAAACATTCAATAAAAAAAACCAAAACAATTCTTCTACTAATCAATAAAAGGTTGTAAGTCATTGTTTAAAAAGTAATTTTAATTATTAAATACCTACCCAAGAACCTTGCCTTTTGAAGAAGATTAAAATGTGTGAGAGAAATCTTCCATCTTGAGCCAGGTGTCTTCTGTAAGCCCTGGATGAAATTACAAAAACAAATTGACAATGTAACATGCATAAGATGACAGCCAAGATAGGGCCAAAAAGAGGTGCCAACCAAAGCAAAGGTTTCCTGAGTTAAAAAAAAAATAATTGTATAGCAGTCTTGCTTCTGTAAATCTGCCTCAGTGCAGGCATGGCTACAGTGTAGCTGACCACCATCAGTGTTTAAAGGACTGCTGTAGTTTAAAGCCTTTTCAAAGTCGATAAATAAAGGCAATTTACAATTTTTCCTGTATTTTATTGACTTTTATTTATTCATGTATCCCATTTAAACTGGGTGGTTTTGTTTATAACAGTGGGATTTAACAAGGACACAAGATATCAGTTAGATAAAATGGATTCATATGTTCTACAAGAGAAATTCAGCTGTTTGGGAAAAATTTTAATTGCATAAAACAGAGACAGTCAAAACGAAAGATGCACCACTGATCTCTCTAATTAAAGTTATATTGTTTATGTATGTAAATCAAAAACTAATGCAACGATAAATAAATATTGTACACATATCTCAGGAACAGTTGGAATTATCACTTAAAAGCTGTAAGATTTCCTTCTGCATTTCTACATAAGAGAAATGTTCATTTCTAAATTAGACTCAACATAATCAAGCAATATTCATGGTAAGTTCATCCTGTTGGACAGTTCCCCCCCCCAAGTTACAATTTAGCTCCTTCAACAATGCTATCTAAAAAACAAAAAACCAACTGACTTTTGAGCATGTTTTAACAGCTAGGTGGAACTGTAAACATGTAAAGAGCGACAGAAAATTGTAATTTCATATTTTTGCTACCCACTCACCTGCTGTGTTCTTCTCTGCGCTGAAGACATAACACTACAGTGTTTTTCAATATCTATAAGAGAAAACAGGTCATTGGTATAAAGTTTGCATTTCTCTTATATAACATAACAGTCTATCAGCCTGCATGCAGTGAAAAGTGTGTACGAGGTACAAAACACAATCTTTCCATGATAAAGAGAAAAAAAGTAAACCAATTCAATGTAAACAAATTTGATAAGCAATATATGTGCCACATATGGATAGCCATATTTTGTTTATGTATCCTTATAAGGCTCAGGATTGGACTGCCAACTAGTCAATTCTTTTACTTCCATTTCGTATCCAAAACCCTATCATACCCCGCTACATAACCAAAGGGTATCAGCTCCATATTAATTAGTTAAGAATATGCCTTTTTTTTTATTTGAATGCTTATTACTTTTCTTTCTTTTATGGTAAATGGTATGTACTTATATAGCACCTTTATTCAAGTTAGGAGACTTGACCAAAGCGCTTTACACTACATTCATTCACCCATTCATACACACACTCACACACTGATGGTGGCAAGCTACATTGTAGCCACAGCTGCCATGGGCTCACTGACAGAAGCGGGGCTGCCCTACACTGGGTCCCCCCGGCCCTCCTACCACCATCAGTAGACAATACAGGTGAAGTGTCTCGCCCAAGGACACAACGACACCGAAAATCGGAGTTGGGGCTTGAACCATCAATCCTTCGATTTCAGGGCAAACTGCTACATCCAACGCCACTGTCACCGAACTTATTGTTTCCATTAACAGCTGCTCAGTGGAGCATTGGGTAGCGCTGCTGCCTTGCAGCAAGAAGGTTCCGGTTTCGATTCCCGGCCCAGGGTCTTTCTGCATGGAGTTTGCATGTTCTCCCTATGCATGTGTGGGTTCTCTCCGGGTACTTCGGTTTCCTCCCATAGTCCAAAAACATGACTGTTAGGTTAATTGGCTGTTCAAACATCTCTTTAGGTGTGAGTGTGTGTGTGCATGGTTGGCGACCTGTCCAGGGTGTACCCTGCGTCTCGCACGTAGAAAGCTGGAGATAGGTTACCAGCACCCGTTGTGACCCAACTGGTCTTTAGCAATGGATGGATGGATGTTTCCATTAATTGCACTGATCCTAGTTTGGGACAGTTGTCACAAATAACAGACCAAGATTACAGCAAAATCAGATCAAAAGAGCTACGAGTGATCTGTCGTGTGTCGTACCTACTAACTTTCTTTGTAGTAAGCTATTTGTTGATTATAAATCATTAATTTATACACTTGATTAAAATATGCATATAACACATTACCAAGTCTGGTATCTGCTGATGGAAGAAAAAAAAATAAGATTTCTCATACCTTTTTATCCTCCATTCTTTTCTTTATTTAGCAAAACTGCTCTCATCATTTTATTCTTTCAAAGATGCGATGAGTAAAATTAACCAAAACATACTAAACCTATATATATATATATATATATATATATATATATATATATATATATATATATATATAAATTAATTAATTATTAATTATTTACGCTTATTTTTTAAATATTCAGCAGTTTGGTGGTGTATGTAAAAAGTTTTTTCTGTTGCTGAGCAGATCTTAATGTGCAACGTCGCAGCTTTTCTACAAGGTTTGTACCTCTGCTATTTTGATATGCAGAGCCTTAGCGGTCACAACTAAACACACGATTTCAAGGGAAATTTCCCTTCAAAATGAAGCAGATGCTCAGACTGATGCGGCATCCTTTGCTCCAACAGCTTTGCTCATAAATCCTATCCTGTGTTATCAGCACAACAGAGCAACTAAGGTGTTAGTTCACATACATTTTCAAAACGGAGTATGCATCTGGATCAAGGTTTGTAGAGCAGAGGAGGAATTATGACTGGATCAGCAGGTGTGTGGCCTCAGGGATTATTTTTTACAGTATCTGCAAAATTACCAGATAATATTTGAGAAGAAATTATCTGCACACAAATACAGAAAACAAAAAGGCCTTGCAGATAAAAAAAAAAAGCTTTAATTTAGCTAAAGGGAAAGATATAGAGTAAAGAATTGTAACATATTCCTAGTAGTTTTCAGCTTATATTAACACGAAGACAAATTTAACAAATAACTAGGAGCTCCCACTCCTGTTCTGTATCTAAAAAATGTAATAAGAATTCACACATCTTATTGAAAAGTTGCTTTATAAAACTAATTTAATATTTATGTAATGATCCTTATGTAATGTTTTCCTTGCGTTAGGTCACTTTTGAGGACTTTATCATTGTTTCGAAGTCCTGGCATATCCAAACATTTTTCTTCTTTAATTATTGTTAGTTGCCAAATACCTTAATTTATAAAATTTTTCTTCCCTACTTATTTTCTATATTCTGTTCTCTTTGTGTTTAAGCTAATCTTCCTGAAATGTGTATATTTCTCCCACCTTGATTTGTAGTTTCCTTTGAGCCCAGCTGAGTTCCCTCTATGTTAATTAGTCTCCTTTCCTTAGGTTGCCTTTTTTTTTTCTTCCACAGCTGTTTTAAATCCCCTGATTAGCACACCTGCATCTGATGCCATTCTCCACCACTTTCATCTGTAGATTAGCTCACTGTTTGTTTCGGTTCCTTTCTGTTTCCTTCCATTTCTCTGCTTGTGATCCACATCCCATTCTCCTCATTTACACTCTGAGGGTTCCCCCTTTATGTTTTTTTTTTTTGTGATCAAAATCTTTAACATTATCATCCCAAGTTTATGCATGGGTTTTGATCCAGCACTGGATATAAAAAAAAAAAAAAAAAGTTCATCTTTTATTTTCCCTCTTTAAGGTGAATTTATGTACCGGTACCCTTATTCAGATTTTGGAACCCCTTGATTTTCATTTTCAAATGATAAACTCTATTAATTACAATGAATTCAACTTATATTTTATGCGAGAGACCAAAACAAATTAGTATAAAATTGTGAAATGAAATTAAAAGTATACACACTTTTTCTTTTTGCAGGTAAAATCATAATGTATAATTCTTCCCTGGATACCTACAAGAAAATATACTGCGACTAACAGTCTTCAAGTTACCTAAATGATAAATAGTGTTAATATAAGTGTTGTTTTATCTTCAAAAAACTAGATTCAATCCAGCTCTTCTGCAATGGGCTTGGAGATATGGAGCCTAGGCGGAAGTTCAACTATGACACAAACAGTTTTGAACCACACCTCCACGAAAGCCAATCAGCATCCAAAGTTCATCTTAAAAGGCCTTTGATCTGCAACTTGTCTGCTACCTAATGTGCAGGCAGTGGTTGCGCTGTGACTTCATTCAGATGACCCCGTTTAAACCCACCTCCAGCCCCTCCTCCACCATCGTAGCTAAAACTTTATCTGAGTTTTATTCCTCCTTGTCTGAGCGCCAAACTTATTGTCTTTTCTCTCTGTGTCAGTTTTTCAGATTGACTTGTTAAAGTACATTATTAAAGAGGTACATGATGGAGACTGGGAACACAGTAGAACTTTAAAAATCGATTTGGTTTTAAAAACATTGAATTAAGAAATTCCAATTTGTAATAAAAAATACTGCAATTTAACAAGACAACTGTTCGATCCGCTCTCCATTAATATGTACTTGGTGGAGAATTAGCTGTAAAAAAGCCATCAAAGTTTCCATATACAGATTGGAAAATGCCAAATCAAAGGTGAAAGAAAGATTTCTGGTTAGATGAAAGAACTACTTTATTACAAAAAACAAACAAAAAAATTAAAAATAATTAGCACTGCACCGAAACATGAACACGAAATGGTTGTGGCAGCATCATCAAACTTGGAAAAAAACCCAGATGGTGGGGTGTGAGTAACCTTTACTCCACTGTCAAGAATGATAAAAACTAAGCATACGGACAAAGCTAAAATGAAGCAGTTTAGATCAAAGTGTGTGATGTGGTAAAATGGCCCCAAAATGGGAGAATATGTAATATTAAAACAATATTGTTTAACAATAGTCTCAATCCAGATGTGTTGACCATGACTTCATGTGGCTGGAAACAAATGCATTGAACTATTTCCTGTATACAGTATCTGTAAATATTTATATGTATATTTGTAAACAGAATGAAAAATTATACAGCATTTTCCTTTTTGTTCAACGTTGTTTGCATATAAATTGCTCGTATGGTTGCATCTTTTCAAAAACTGGATTTATTTCTAAGGGGCTGTAACTAAACATTAAGAGCTGATAGATCTCAAATTCATTTACAAGAGAACACAAAACTTGCATAGAATTAGCAGTTTAAGATGACTTTTGAGCATGTTTTAACAGCTAGGTGGTAAACATGAGAGACAGAAAATTTTTTTTTCATATTTTTGCTACCCACTCACCTGTTGTGTTCTTCTCTGCGCTGAAGACAAAACACTACAGTGTTTTTCAATATCTATAAGAGAGAACAGGTCATTGGTATAAAGTTTGCATATCTCTTATATAACATAACAGTCTATCAGCCTGCATGCAGTGAAAAGTGTGTACGAGGTACAAAACACAATCTTTCCATGATAAAGAGAAAAAAAGTAAACCAATTCAATATAAACAAAAGGGCATTTATTGAGAAACGTATTTATCAGGAGTGATTAGTTGTGTGTTTAGTTAGCAGATTATTTTAGAGACTTTAAATTAAATTTAACATTTCTTTTACATCAGTTTAGCTGAATCTCTTATGAGTGTGGTTAGGGGTATCGAGGGAGATTAATCTGAGGTTAAATTGAGCAGGTTTACTTTTTTTTATTAGTGAAAATTAGCAGTTCATGGTTAAATTGGGATTAGAAATCGGGTTACCTGTTTAGTGTTTAGTCTTCCATTTAGTCCCGTCATCTACAGTCTTTAATCAGAGTCAGGCTTCGGGTGTGCTAATCACAAAAAAGAATTCAAATGGCTAAACAGACATGGGCAGTGGTGTTTGGAACATGCAGATATTGCATGAAAGAAATGCACCAAGAGAAGGAGTTTAGCATAGATGCTGAGATGTTGCAGACAGCAACTGACTTCTGTAGGAAAGGTTCTTTCCACTAATGACATACAGGTAGATTATTGATATACAGATCTTTTAATTTGGCAAGTATATTTCAGATATTATTATAATATATATATATATATATATATATATATATATATATATATATATATATATATATATATATATATATATATATATAAAATAGAGGAGTTCTTACCTCTATTAAACGTTAAACATAGGAAACTCAGTATGATTCACTATCTGTTTATGTAACAACTCAAAGAGCACAGATAGCAAAAAGACAGTTATTAGTTTTGGATTAAAGATCCAATAAATAATCATTTTGGGCAAACTTACTAATTGTCTTTTTTAACATTTTTTGCTGGTTTCTGAAAGCAACCAACAAACAAAAATATATATAAAATTAAAAAACAAACAAAGAAATTACAGTTTGATTATATACTATTTATTAAGTTTCCAGACTGGGTCGAGGTTAAAATTATTTTTATTAAATGTTTTATGTATAAATACAGATTACACACAGAACAATGTACACTCAATGGATTACACACTGGCAAATGCTTTTAACCCAAACAATAGAATGTTTTTTTTCAATGTCTTCTGAAATTACAGTATTACTAACGGTACGTTTTATTTCAGTTTTCAGTGCTCTATATACTTATTTAAAGTTCAATTGATTATTTAATAGCTTAGGGTTCACAATATTAGACAAGTTATTAATGATGTTTAGCTCATCAAGACTCTTTACATTCAGTTTTTTGATTCTTGAAAGATTGGTTTCAATTTGTTGCTTTAAAGCAGTATTTTCTGTTTTTTCTTTTTAGAGCAAAGTGTTGTTGTCTTCTGGGTTGTTACTATTGTGCTTTTTTGAACATAAAGTTCCTGGTTAAATATCCAAGGAAACAGTTTATCTGCATTAGTCTTTATTTTATTTTTTTTTAACTTTCAATCAGGTAGTTTAGATAAGAGAGTCGCAGAGAAGCAGATAGCAAATATCTGACAATAGAGGTAAGTCTAAAATGGATAGATTTTGGCTAATAGTTTAAAATTTGTATGTGTCCAATAAATCTGCTATGGTCTAAAGGATGCTTGCTTTTTACTTTGGACTGGTGGGAATAAAACACTTCACTGTTTACTGCTCTGAAGTGGGGAATTTGTGGTTGAAGCTGCAACATTGTGCATCTAACATATTTCTCTTTCTGGCAATAAATGTTTACTGTCCATCCAGAGTCTCTCTGACACCAATAAAAGAAAGTACATGGATATAATGGCTGACTAACAAAGTCTTAGTTAAAAGTAATAAAGTAGTCAGAGACAGGAGGTGAAGCTGGGGTGCTCACTGTGTGGTAATTACAAAATAGAAAGCATATTGATACAGGCATAAATTACCATGCTGTTTCTGTTATGTTCAAATGTTACAAATGCCTTTTGGCCCTCTTGAAAATATTCTATGAAACTGTCTAATGCAGTGGATTGAGTAAAGGATGGTGTGTGAACTCCAGTAAAGCCAATAAATGGAAACCAATCTGACACAATCGCATACAACCATGAAATCACAACAATAGGGACAATAGGAGTAATTTAAAGACCTATTTTAAAGAACAACCCTCATGTTAATGGAGACTTTGTTGAATATTAAAGAGACTCAAAGGTGTATAATTTAATGGATACAGCAGGATACAATGACACATATATTTTTTTATAATTGTTTTAAAATCCAATGATGAAATTGAGAATGTTACAACATTTTTTTTTTAAAAGTTGAAAAAAGGCTTAAAAAGAGAAGTTGAGGTGACAGATCTAGGGCACCTTCAGTATCTACCATAGGGATGCTTTCTGTAGCCTCCTCTTGTCAGACGTAAGGCCGGAGCTTTGAGAACAGGTCTGGGGCTCGTCCACCCTTCTTCTGCAAAAAAATTTAGATGTATTCACTATTGTCCAAAAGAAGATTTCCTCTTTACTACAAACAGTGATCAGTGCTCTATCTCCTAATTGCTTATGGCATTTTGAGAAAAAAGTAAAGCAAATATTTTATATATATGTGTGTGTGTGTGTGTGTGTGTGTGTGTGGGTGCGTGTGTGAAGAAAATAAGTATTTGTTGAACACCCTGCTATTTTGCAAGTTCTCCCTCTTAGAAATCATGGAGGGGTCTAAAATTGTCCAGAAATCACAATGTATGATTTTTTAAACTGTTTATTTGTATGATACCAGTGCAAATAAGTAGTTGAACACATGTTTATCAGCTAGAATTCTGACCCTTAAAGACCTGTTAGTCTGCCTTCAAAATGTCCACCTCCACTCCATCTATTATCATAAATTAGATGCACCTGTTTGAGGTCGTTAGCTGCATGAAGACACCTGTTCACCCCATAGAATCAGGAAGAATCCAACTACTGACATGGGCAAGGCCAAAGAGCTGTCCAAAGACACTAGAGACAAAATTGTACACATCCACAAGGCTGGAAAGGACTACGTGGAAATTACCAAGCAGCTTGGTGAAAAAAGTTGGAGCAATCATTAGAAAATGGGAAAAGCTAAATATGACCATCACTCTCCCTCGGACTGGGGCTCCATGCAAGATCTCAGCTCGTGGGGTCTCAATGAGAGGTAAGAAATCATCCCAGAACTACACGGGAGGAGCTGGACTATTACCTTAAAAGAGCTGGGACCACTGTTTCCAAGGGTACTGTTGGTAATACACTAAAACGTCATGGTTTGAAATCATGCACCGAAGGTTCCCCTGCTTATATGCTTATATATGTACAGAGTTATTCTCTAACAGCAGGAAATTACTGTCATAAGCTTTTTTCTCTTTACTGGACCAATGCTGAAATTCAGCTCTCAGCGATTTGAGCATAAAAGCAAATTACATACAGATTCGGCCAGCTTTACTGTATGGCACACGGCAAATAAGAGTGGTTATGAAGCAGAAAATCAAATTATCAGCTGCTTGATTTTCCTTTGGTCTAACCTGAACACCCAAGTGCTTAGTTCATATAGCTGAAAGAATGAATAACCAGCAAAAAGGCAATGACAACCATTTAACAGCTGATTTTGTAAGCCTTACAACTGGTATTTAATATACTATTAAAGGTCATATTTCATACCTTTTTAAATCTTTGATTTTCAATGTACTAAAGTAGGAAAAGTGAAAAAAAGTATGGGAGAAACAGGTCAAAATCAGCTAAAAAAAAAGGTTGCCAGAAGTTGTCATAGATTAATATGAAATTTGAAGCAGCAAACTATGCATAAGTGCATAGAGATAGCCTTCTATGACAAAAGTATTTACAGTAAAGTCTCCAACTCTGATTTAAGTCTATAAAATGAAGGCTGGGACCCTATGGAGGGATTTCAAATCACTCAGTTGCATGCTCAGTCTACCCTTAATTCCTCACAGTGGTAAAAGTTACCTTGGGGAAAAAAGAGGTAGGTGATACTGGGTCAAGATGAGTCACCCACTGTTTCTTAGCAACCATGCTGTTTTGCTTTTAAGGTAGAAATAATTGCTTCAATATAACAGGAGTACATGTGACAAGTCATAAGATTTTTTCCTCCACAAGTGCATTCTTTTTTTATATCAAAGTGAATTTTCAGTATTCATATTTAATGACATTTACATCAAGGTGAATTCATTTTAAGGTATTAGACATTGCAGTTGAATCATTTTGCTAATGATTAGCGTTATATACATAGCCTGATAAACCAGACTAAATGTGAGAATAAATGTGTAATTTAGTCTGGGCCTGATGAATGAGACATTGGAAGATTGTTGATGAGAACAACCCGTTGTTTTTCAAACGATGTCTGTGCCTATTGGCCAACGCTCTGACCAGACATGGGCAATGTGGACTCAACAAGTCATCTCCATGTCATATATTTGTTCTACCCAGCCACTGAAGCAGGTGAGTCCAATCTTCACCGTGAATTAACCTGTGCAGATTGGACTCACCTGGTTAATTGGCTGGGTAGATTAAATACATGACATGGAGATGACTTGTTGACTCCACATTGCCCATGTCTGGCTCTGACCAATGAACGCAACTGACTGTGACGTAGTCACGAAGCACGACAGAAAGCTGGTGAGGGAGTGCAAACAAACAGCCTGTCGTTAAAACGGTGAATACGTCCTTCTTAAAAAATGAATGAGCGTAGAGCCTCTTCCTGCTCACGTTTAAAAGAAAACTGATCCCAAAGCTGAGTCAAAGGAGAACTGTTTAATAGTTGTTGCCATCTACCTTGTTGTGCTTTCTCCAGCGTTGTACAGCTTTGCATCCAAAAATTCAAAACACATCTCTGCGTTGTGATTGGCTCGCCAGTTCTAGGGCCCGGGGCATATTGATCGAGACTAGACCACTCGCAGGCAAAAATGATTTTGGCCGCTGGCGGGTGGATCTAGTTTAGAGGCTCACTGACCACATATAAAAATGAGCACATCCATGGCACTATTCCAAAACAAGTGGCCTGTAAAATGGCATTTAGGATTTCATAGCAAAACAACATTCCTGTCCCTAACAACATGCTGTAATAGTTATTGCTTTAACGGGTAAAGTATAAAGAACATCACATCATTGAGCAAGAAAAGCTCAGTTTACTCCCTCCCTCCCTCGTCCATACATATAGAAATGTACACCTTCATAGAAAAACACATTAAATGAAACAAAACTTGTGAGCTGGATAGGTTTGGGTCAAATTCAGCCACCAAGACAGTTTATTTTTCAGAAAACAATAAAAATTTAGAGAGGATGTTTTCATTGGACTTCCGTGCGATTTTCTTTTTGCCTGTAGGACCAAAAAAAAAGTAGAGTGGCTTATCACTCCCTCTTAATTTGAAGCTCTACAACATTGGAAGAATTCATCCAGAATGTTGTCATTTCTGCTCCAGTTTAAAGAATGTTTGTTACTCTAATGCAGTGGTTCTCAAACTTTTTCTGTCATTCCCCACTTTGGACAAGGGGGAATTTTCAAGCCCCGCCTGTCCCCATCGCCCCAACACAATGCTAATGAAATATGCAACAATCTTAAAATGTTCCAATTTTACTGAAGTAACAAGTAGTATCTAAATACAAACTATCTACATCAAATAACAGCAAGCTAAAAAATGAAGAAAATAAAAATGCAGCTGTGTCAAAATTTGTATCAAGCTCAAAGATAGAAAAAATTAAAGTGCCACTCTGCAATCTGTTAATAAAAGAAAAGAAGTGAAATCCATCTGGCAAGACAGTTCTATTTATCCCTGCATTAGTGGCTGCAATGAGCCTGTTTTGCATTGCACAGTTTCTCAAAACGGGGTTGCAGGCTTGATACTGCCACTCTCAAGTCATGCTCAATGTTCAGCTGAGATCTGTATTTTGTTTTCATTGAAGCAACAGCTGAAAAGCCCATCTCACAGAGATATGATGTGGCAAAGGGAAGAAGAATGCACACAGCTCTCTGCCCGATGAGTGGATACTCCCTCTCCACTCCTAACCAGAATTCACTATTAGTCTGAGCATTAAACCTGAGCTTCAGGGTGGAGTCAGACGTCATTTCAATAAACTGGTCCTCCTCAGCAGACCTAAAATCAGCAGGTGCTGCAGACAGAATAGGAAAAAATATACTTACTTTATTTTTCATTGCATAATAAACTAATAAAATATTTCAAATTCAGTTATTTATGATCAACCTGCGCCGTCAATCCCGGCGCATGTGCGCTTTATTTGCAGTCTGGACGCTAAAGTTAAACATGCTGTGTCTCTGCTCTGACTGCAGCGCTGAGAGGGACTCCTGCGATAGCGGGGGAGAACGGGGTTGGGACGGAGGAGGCGCCCCACGGCAGCACCTGCCGCTGGAGGACAAGAAAAGGAACGATACGTGCTTTCACGTAAGAGTCTCCAAAAGTCGCTAGATTTGTCGCTAGTCGCTTTTTTTAAAAAGAGTCGCTGGAGGGGTCTGAAATATAGCGACAAAGTCGCTGAGTTGGCAACACTGGGGCGCGAAAGTTTATTCCGTTACAAATAATATGCCGACGTCACGTCAATAATTATTTTGGCACTTCAGTTCCAGGTGAAATGTTTCTCATATCTAATGTTCTTTTAATTAGACTGCATGTAGGCTAGTAATGATTACTTTGTGGGTTTGATTGGTCTAAAAAGCGGCAACATACAGCTATAAGGACAGTTTGCTCTCACACGTTCTACATTTATAGTCACACACACACACACACACACACACCGGAACTTGGCGCGCCCCACCTGTCACGTCTCAATTCCCCACCAGTGGGTCGCGCCACACACTTTGAGAACCGCGGCTCTAATGTGATGCTGGGCCCTGTTTCAGAAAGTGGGCTTATGAGAACTCAGAATCATTTCTGGGGTAAATCCATACATACCCTAACCTTTTGATTGCAGAAGGACGTAGTTGTTACCCAAAATCAACTTCACACCAATTACTCTAAACCACTTGTGGTCGACAACAGGAACTGTTACAGAAAAGCATCAGAAATGGCTTATCCGTTACCGGAGAAGCCTGAAGCAAGTTCTCCGTGCAGCATATTGTTTTTATGCTGAGGGCAAACTATTAAAGATTTGGTGCTATGCAGCGGAGATGCCCATCAAATCAATTACAATTTCTATAAGGCAGCAGCTTTCACCATTAGAGGAGAGAGAGCCGCTACCTGCCATGTGGGACACAAGGCTTAGTTCCAGACTGAGATTGAAGGAATCAACAATTTTAACTCTTTAATTATTAAACAGCTTTTTCTTTAATCAAATATATATATTACAATGATACTTTGGAGCCAGAAAGCTTCAAAAACATTTGCTGATGAAGGTTCTCAGTCATACAGGTCATAGTCATTCCGTAAAAATTCAAAAAATTCAAAAAATATCCACTGGACTTGGTTTCGCCACCTCTCCAGGAAGCTTTGGAGAGGTGGCGATACCAAGTCCAGTGGATATTTTTTGAATTTTTACGGAATCAAAAACATTTGCAATTTTGTAATTTAGTTAATTAAATTATCCCCCACGGACACACACACATACACAGTTTTTGACGTTCTATTGTCACATGTCCTCTTGATTATTAAGAGAAAAGTTCCCAACAACTGAAAGTATAAATGATCTCTACTCTTTTTCGTATTTACTCATGAACCAAGCTATAACTTATTTTAACTTTTCTAATTGTGTTTTTTTTAACATATAGCCAATTAAAGCTGCGTAACTCGGTCGGTAAAGGTTAAACTGAACAATAGCTGTTAAGTCGACCATACCTAATTTAACTGTATTTCTGCATTTTATTTTAATTAACTTGTATGTTCTTGTTTTCAAGCCAGTCAGTTACACATAGTTGCAAATAACATGCACACATGCATTTCTTATATTAAATAAATTTAGTTTTAGGGTTTACTTTTAATAATCCATCAAATCCCTCTAATGCAGAATGTTGGCAATCTGCAACCTGACTATGTCATCTCCACGTCCATCTTCAAATTCATGTATCTTCAGAAGATGCTATATTAGCGAGCATTGCACTCATCACTCGTCACTTTCCGTAACATAACCTGTACATTTTCTTTTTGAGTGTTAAACTACACTAATGAAATAGAGATTGTGTATCATGCCACTGAAATACTGTTTTTTTTTTTCTAAAAGCATAATTCAACCATATGCTACAGATGTGGTCGGATAAAAAAAACAAAACACTTGCATCTGCACTGTAATACTGTTATTTAAGTCAGACAATGGAACAACAATCTACAGCTAAGCATCAGTAAAGACTGCATTTATTACTAGTAGACTTTATGCTAACAAGCACCCACAGTCACCTCATTCTTAAGCTAATTACTCCCTGCTATGTGTCCCACAGCTGAAATAAAGTTTAATCTCCCTCTCAGTTGCTTTCTTAATACAGTGGCAAAAACCTGTTTCTAATAAAGAGGGCTTTTGTTGTTTTATTTTGAAGGAGAATTTCTTCCTTCTAAGCTTGTATATACTGCCATCGAATTCAGTTCATTTCTTTGCATCAAAGTTTATGTCACATCCTTTTAGTTGTCCATAAGAACATATACTGTAATGGGCTCAGACATAGAACATCATTTTTTTCTGTCAAGACAATTCTGTTACAGACAAAACTTTATTGTCCATGTATGGTGGCCTGTTTTCTTTTGGGAGGAGGGTGGAGTTTCAAAAGGTTTTCTTTTCTGAGAAGCGTATGCTTTAAAATTAGCTATCTGCTTTGAAACCAATAGCGGAGAGAGTGTGATTTAGCTCCACCAATTTCTTAACACTTTGAGCATTTTAAGGTTTTCTGGCTCAAAAAATATGATGAGATATACACCCTTTTGAATTAAAGTTTTCTTGCTGAGGAAATAACCAAAAAATAAGCTGCTTTAGACTTAAAGAAGTCTAAGATAAGGTGGTGTGCAAAAGCGTCCAAGAGCGATTCATGTGCACACAGCAAAGGAAAGAACAGTTGTACGAAGAAATGCCTTTGAGGACAAAACCCCCAGAAGGAAAAACAGCTTGTGGCCTTGTGAGTTTTCACTGGCAAATTCAAAGTTCAAGTTAAATGCAGCTTGCAGTCAGGTATCGTAGGAGGGGTTATGTGTAAAGGAGCGTCTGTCTGGGTCAGGAAGTGGGATCCAGGGCTTTTATTCTTTGTCCCTTGGTTGTTTTTAGTAACAGTGCAGCAGCTGCTTGAATTACATGAACTGGCACCATGTTTGTGTAATCCAACAATGTGGCTATAAATTTTGGAAATATCTGAAATATTAGTCAAATTAGTCAATAGCCTTTTTTTTTTTTTTTTTTTTTTACAGTTTCAAAGGAACACTTCTGATGCCAGATATCATTAGGCATGACACTTGTTAACAGTTCTCATAAGCAGAGCAGCTCACTTATCAGAGCTGGTTAGTAACTAGTTACATTAACTCAGTTACATTTACTTAAAATAACTTTTTGTATTCATTTTATTTTTGTCTTTTACCTGAGTAAAAATATATAAAAGTATGACTATTCCAACTTGAGTAAAATTTCTGGCTACTTTGAGTAACTAAATTTAAGGAAAAAAAAAACTTTTTTTGTAAACAAAAATTCAACATAAGTACACACATCATATATCTACCAACCTACTATATTTTCCATCTGCTGAGTCTGCTGTGTCATTTAGGGTCAAGTGAAAAGCATATTGAGACCAGTAAATATCATATTGTAAATTTATTGTATACTAAAGCACTGTAACTGTTGATTTTGTTAGTTTTATAACTAGAATTTAGTATTTTAAAGTGATTCCTTCACATAAAATTGTTGTAATTACAGTAAGTTAGATATTAATCTATCTCATTCCTTAAATCCGGATGTACATATAAAGTCATATTTTGTGTAAGTTAGCACTATTTTTAACATATTAAATTAGTTGCTATGACCATGAGTGGCAATTAGAGTAGTTACTCAGTATTTAAGTAGCATTTTTATCCAAATAATTTTTCACTCTTGAGTCATTTGTTGGCTTATTCTCACTTTTACTTGAATAAAAACATGAGGTAGTTCTACTTTTAATTGAGTACAAGTTTTGGGTACTATGTCCACCTCTGGTCTTGATAAATCATACAGTGAATTAAACAATAAGAATTTTTTTTTTTACATGCTTTAGGACTTAATTAAAGTTATATAATGATTTCTACTGGTTGCTTATTAAATAATCAACCCATATTCCGCTTTAATATTGATCTCATTTTGAACTTTTTAGAATAAAAATACTGCACACTGGGTGTTTTATCAGTAATAAAAGGTGAGGGGGAGTCATTTGGATCATGAGTATAAACCTCATAAAAACAACACTGTTTCTAGGACCAGATGAGCCGCACTTACCATAGCTGTTGTACGATTCATTACTGCTTCCGTGTCCATATTTATGATATTCTAAAACACTGTGAAAACAAAACAAGATTTAGATATAATAAAAAAAAACTAAACATAACCAAAACAATGACAATAGTTAATTTAGATTGTGTTGATTTTTTTTTTATTCAGCCTCACTGATGCAGACATTTGTAGAACTTATTTTTGTTTTTTTATTCAGTTTTTTTTTTTTGTGTGCCATCATTGCATCATCATCGCACATCTGAAATGAAATTGTTAAGTTTTTATCTTTGCAAAATCCAAATTTTGACATTTTGGGCAGATGTCTTTATTATGACTTTAGAATTCTCATCTAGACCTGGGCCAGGATTATGACTTGGCCATCCCAAAACATGAATATGCTTTGATATAAATATAACACTGTAACTCTGTTGGTCCACCAAGGACCTGATATTTAGAAGTTTGGCATATGTATAAATATATTCACACTTAACAGCAAAGTTAATCTATGTAAAAGCTAATCTACATAAAAGATGCCTTGTTACAATGACAGGATGGAGACAGAAAGTCTTTGAACATGTGTGTGCTACAAGAAATAACAGTTGAATAATACTTTTAGAGAAAAAGATATGAAACAAAAATAGGCAATTAAACCTAAATGAAAAACACTATGACTTAAACATTGTGGCATGCTTATAATAAAACATAACTGAACAATAAATTGTTGATAACACGATATTGATTCCATGTCATTTTGCATTAAAATTGTGCAGCAGGACATACCATGTGGTTCTGTATGGTGGCCCTGAAGTGCAAACCACATCAACAAACCTTAAAACACATACAACATATTCTCATATCCTTCTTTTTATGCTTGCTCATTTAGAAAGAATATGTTGTTGTTTTTTGAATATGTTATCGTGTTTCTGAAAATGTTTTTTGATTTTTTTATATTGTTTTTTGAGATGTTGCTGTGTTTTCAAATGTTATTGTGGTTTTAAATATGGTTTGTTTTTTAATTTTAAATTGTGTTTAAAGATTTGTTGAAGTAGTGTGTACTGCAGGGCCACCGTATTTGAGATTTCTTATGAATCAAACAGGCTTATTTTTAACACAAATAAGTAGTGCCACAGCAGCACTCTGATTTATAGCATGCAAATACCTACAGCATCTGTGTGTATCACCAGTATAAGCTAAGGGGAGGATAGTGATGCTGTCCGCTGCAGCCAATGTTAGTTTTTTCACTGAACAACCCAGGAACTCTTTAAATGGAGCACCAAAATTAAAAAAATAAACATAAAATGTAATGTTTTTATTCAATGGAGTTATAAAAAAAACATCACTAAAGCTTCCTGAAAAAAGAAGGAAGTTGAAAAATAGCCTTTTGGGTTCGCCAAGCCACAATTATTTGATGCAATGCCAATGTTTACTTCAGTGGATGAAATATTCATCCAGCTGTGTATCTGTGTAAAAATCACCTTTTTGACTGAGAGATGTAGTTTTCACTATAGTCTCCGTAACTCTCATCTTCGTATTCTTCATCATATCCATCTTCGTAACCCTGCAGGAAAAGAAGCACACGATATTCAATTGGACAAATCTCCATGAAACTTTAAAGTAGATCCCAGTTAAAGTGATTAGATGAAACAAGCCAAGAGAGATACGTGAGCAAATTTAATCCCTCTATTCTGTAAATGCCCAAAAGCAATTATTGTTATAAGTTAGTGGATTAACATGCCTCAATTTAGATCTAAAGAAAATTTATGAGGCTTAAACTGGATTTTAAATGATAAATATGCAGATAGTTACATACTGTATGCATTTTGCTAAAAAAAGGAATTAAAATTTAGAAAATCGATTAATTTGAGAAAATTTAAATAGTGGCTTAAAAGTTATATTAACAAATATAGTTTTATATATATATATATATATATAGTTTTGACAAAGCCATGAGCATCATAAATGTTTATAAAATGTTTATAAAGGCCTATAAATGTTGGTTTTAATGGTTGATACTAAAGCATTTCTTTAATTTGAAATCTGACCGAAGTTTGGGAACTATCTGAACTCTGGAACAAATCTGAACATGATCCTAAACCGCCTGCCGGTGTTACATCAAGGAAGAGGAATGTATTGGCCAAATAGTAGAGAGAATAACAAGCCTTGGACATTACAGAACTCTGCAGTGCCTAAAAAACCTTGCTAATAACCACAAAAATATTAAAAACCACAAATGCCAACACAGGTCAAACCAAAAGGCTTTCACAATTTTACTTTGCATATCTGTACTAATGCTATGTAGCCTACATTAAACTGTAAAACACATCTATCAGCTCTGGCTTTAACCAGAAATATAAATTGGAAACCTAAGAGGTTTCATGAAAGTTAAGAACATTCATTTACTATTTGCACATTATAAACTATGTCAACTTTTAGAATTACATGTAGTTAGGGTGCACTTCATTTCATAACAATTTAAATCATTTACATACAGAAATCAGCTGTCCAGACACACATGTTTTCCCCAAAACACAAAACAGTACTATAACAAAACATCTCATGGGGTATTCTACATAAAGTAAAGAAAGTGTCTTCTAAATCCATCCACCATAGAGAACTGTTAAAAGCAACAAAAACAGCAGCTCTGTGCCTTTAAGGCCTTGCCCTTGTCTTGGCCATGGAGTGAACAAAACTTCCACTAAAGCCCAGAATCTCAACTTTTTTCAGGCAAACTTTAAAACTTCTGAAGAAGAAGCGCAAACCCACATAAACACCTTTTTTAACAAGTTAGGCTGGTCTGTGTTCTAGATGATCAACAGTTGATGATTTAATAATTCTTTTGCATTTTCAATCATTCATTCCTTAATATATTTATTTCTGTCTCTTTTATATGTCGCTTAGATTATTAATGTGACAGTGTCACACTGTCATGATCTGGCCTGTTTGCTCTCCCTTAATTAGTCATTCCTTTCACCTGTCGTTTTTCCCTCCCTGCCTCATTATTATTTATTCCTCTCACCTGTTTCCACTGGTTTATATTCAGTTCAGCCTGGGCATTCAGGGCCAGATCATTGCTTGTCTTTCTGTCAGTCTTTCTGTTCAGTTTTATTTGGTTCTTGTCCTGGATCCTAGCTGCCAGTGGAAAGAGGGTTTTAGTGTTTGTCTTGTCTCCTGATTGTCCACTCTTCCTCCTCCGTGGAGTCCTCTGGGTTTTTGGCTCATTATGGGGGGAGGTTCAGTTTTTATCAAAGTAAGCCTGACTCCAGGGGGGAGACCAGTTTAAAGTCCTGCTTCAAGTTCCGGTTCCTAAGTCCTGTCTCAGCCACCCTCTTCCACTGAGCCTTCCTGTCTGCACCTGATCCTGTCTGCTCCTGTGCGTGACCACCTGGTCATGCTTCTGGTCCAAGTCAGACTCTGAACCCTCCTGGAAGCTTGTGGATGCCTGGAAGTCTGGATCCTGCCACCCGTTTCTGTTCCTGCATGATCTGGATCCTGCCTGTTTCTGTCTGTTCCTGTCTGTTCTGGATCCCTCAGCAGGATCGGCTTCCAGCATGACCTCTGGAACTGCAGCACTGGGGACACTCGTGGTCTGGACTGTTAAACCAGGTAAGTGACCAACGCAGATAATCTTATATCAGTTTATCGTGGTCACTTACCTGTGTTTCCTCCTTAGAGTGTCTGAGATTGGGCGGTGCCCCCCCCCCCCGCCTGCTAGCAGTAAAGCACTGTCTTTACTGTCCAGCAGGACAGCATGTGACCATCATGGCTGGAGGTGGGACCTCAAGCCCTAACTCCAGCTACTGTATAATCAATTGAAAGACAACAGATTGTGTGGAGCAGGAGCCATCAGCTGGTCACATATGTTATCATAAATGCAAAAAATGATACTACTAGCTTGCTATACTGATAAAACCCACTGAAAGAAAATATTCAATTTTGATTAAAAACTTATTTTAATTGTCCTTCTTAGACTACGTTACTGCAATAATGGATTCATTCAGTTTAAATAAAACTAATCCAGTATTAAAATCTGGAGTATGAACCTCTGATGTAAATGTTATATTATACCACTGATTTTGTTGGATATCTTATAATTACCTTTTTTTTTTATCTCTTTAACTGTGAAGTGTTTACATCTCATCAGTATCATGAGGTCCCTTTGGAGACTTTTTGTGGTTTTATTGCTCGTAGTAAATTAAATGTAATTTAAATCAGTAAAGGGAAAATATCTAACCTCACCACCACTTTTTGTTCACTTTTTCAATTCCTATTGATTTAGACATATAGTCCTCTTTAAAACAGCTGTTTCTTACACTGTGAAGTGGCTAAATGTTAATAAACTCTGCAGTGATGCTTTCAGTTACGATAGTGAACAGTGAGTAATTAAGTTTTATGAGGTGAGGTGAGTGCCAAGTTGACAGTTTCTTTCCACTGGTAGAACATTGGCTACAGGTGCCACTAAACCTGTAAAAGGCTATTTCAAAACAAAAATGTTTTTAGCCCTTATTTTTACTAGCTAGAGCTTCAGAGATAATTTATTTATGTTATAAACCTAAACTTTTTATTTGCAAACTCAGTTGGATATTGACAAGCCTGAATATTCCCTTTTCAACCAAAAAAGGTATATGAATCGTAAAAGATAACATGACGTACATTTGCAAACTTTAGGCCATCAGTGTTAATATCTTACCTAATATATCCTTTACTAAATACAACTCGGATATAAGATTACCTGCTCAGGTCAACAGTATTATGCATTTTTTTTGTTCGTTTTTTAAACTGAAACATAACAATCAGTAAGATTTTCATCTTTGATTTATTGTCAAAACATCCTGAATCTTGGCCATTATTAACCATTATTGGCTTATCAATGAAACCTGCTGGCTTCCTTAGACAGAAGAGCAAACCTTTAATCTGTCTCGTTAATCTCATTGGTTGGTCTCTGTGAAGGCTAACAAAATAAAGAGGTCAGCCATAGTGTGCAGAGCCTGCCTAAAATAATTTCCATAACACTTTTGTGCATCAAACACATGCAGAACTGTTGAATAAAATGCATTATATTTGGAAAAGCTGACTCATTCAGGGATCTTGTCCTTTTAAGAGAAAAGTCAAAGCTCAGATTACTTTTTGAAATAGTCTTCTTGCTTCAAATTGCAATTTTGTAGCGGCGCTGTTTGCTGTATATTATATTATAAACTGTTCTATATATCTAGGTAATGTACAGGTTGGTCATCCCATTTGCCTGGTATGGGACGGCTCAGGGATGACTGGTAAATAGTGTCAATCAACTGCAAACACTCTGTTTGCACAAAGGGAGTAGTGAGAAATAAAATGTTCAGCCTTTAAATGTAAATAGCCTTTTTTACTATAATGATCTGGTCTTAAGAGGTACAAACATCTACAAAATTACAAAAATTTGTCATCATTGGGTTTCTTTTCTTCTATTGCTAATACCATTCTTCCCTCTCAGGGTTTTTTTTTTATCCCTGCTCCTAAATACCCTCTGGCCTGCACATTTGATAAGTTTCTTTGCTAAACACTCTCATTTAATTACAATCAAAAAATTGTATTTAAGGCATAATAACCCTTTAACCAGTTCTGCTGAGCTATAAACACAATGCCTGCTCTCCTCCCTAGATGTAGTTCTAAAACACACATTTCAAAACAATAAACACATTTCTCATATATTAAAATTTTTTATGACATAACTGTTCTATTTCAGAAGGAAAACTGTTATTCAAAATTTGTACATACTAGAACTTGAGCTGAACAGAACTTGAGCAGAAAAGGGCCATAAGGGGGACCTTTTATGTAATGCCTGTATAGAACTTGGAGAACCGATAAATCGGCTAACACAAGTGGCAAACTTTCAAAGAATTTATTTACAAGTAAATACAGTCGATTCTGCAGTAACAGGAGCTGACTAGATCTGGAATTATTGTGAGAGAAGAACTTGATCGGAGGGTCTAAAAAACTCAGTGGTGTTGAAGGTGCACTGAATGAAAACAACTAATCTTTTCATGGTGCTGTTACACCTTGACGATTTAGCCAGCCTATGCCAATATACGAAAATTGTGGCAAAATGTTGGCGTAAGTTTGATAAGTTATGGGTACATTTTGTATAAGTTATGCGCCCACTAAAGCCTGCTGGCACACATAGACATATGGCAACTATGGCAACAAATTTTGAGCATGCTCATACAGGCATAGACTGAATTACGTTCCATGTAGTTCAGTTTGGCCAGAGTAGCAAGGGCTCAAAACCGCAGCTTTCTGTCTGACAAACTGGTCTGCAGCACAGGTGTGCAGTTCCTGTTCACCCTCAATACTGTATAATTCTTTAGCAACTCCAAAGGTTTTCACCAAGTTCCTGGATAACTGCCATAGTAAGACAGCAAAGCTGTATTGCATTGTGGTTGACTTCAGCAGGGAAAGATCATCCAACTGAGACTGAAATAGTGAATTCACAATTTTGCTGAAATACTAAATTCGTCTAATTATAATTATTGATTACCTTTATAAAAAACTGAACAGGAGTAAAAACACTGACATTCTTTAAAG